TTACTGGTAATGTAATGTTCTGACAGTGGGGTGGAGGAGGAGGGAACACTTTCGGGTTAGTACGTACCGATAATGTAATGTTCCGACAGTGGGATGGCGGTGTGAACACTTTCGGGTTAGTACTTACTGGTAATGTAATGTTCTGACAGTGGGGTGGAGGAGTGAACACTTTCGGGTTAGTACTTACCGATAATATAATGTTCTGACAGTGGGATGGAGGTGTGAACACTTTCGGATTAGTACCTACCGATAATATAATGTTCTGACAGTGGGATGGAGAAGGAGGGAACACATTCGGGTTAGTACTTACTGGTAATGTAATGTTCTGACAGTGGGGTGGAGGAGGAGGGAACACTTTCGGGTTAGTACGTACCGATAATGTAATGTTCCGACAGTGGGATGGCGGTGTGAACACTTTCGGGTTAGTACTTACTGGTAATGTAATGTTCTGACAGTGGGGTGGAGGAGTGAACACTTTCGGGTTAGTACTTACCGATAATATAATGTTCTGACAGTGGGATGGAGGTGTGAACACTTTCGGATTAGTACCTACCGATAATATAATGTTCTGACAGTGGGATGGAGAAGGAGGGAACACATTCGGGTTAGTACTTACTGGTAATGTAATGTTCTGACAGTGGGGTGGAGGAGGAGGGAACACTTTCGGGTTAGTACGTACCGATAATGTAATGTTCCGACAGTGGGATGGCGGTGTGAACACTTTCGGGTTAGTACTTACTGGTAATGTAATGTTCTGACAGTGGGGTGGAGGAGTGAACACTTTCGGGTTAGTACTTACCGATAATATAATGTTCTGACAGTGGGATGGAGGTGTGAACACTTTCGGATTAGTACCTACCGATAATATAATGTTCTGACAGTGGGATGGAGAAGGAGGGAACACATTCGGGTTAGTACTTACTGGTAATGTAATGTTCTGACAGTGGGGTGGAGGAGGAGGGAACACTTTCGGGTTAGTACTTACTGGTAATGTAATGTTCTGACAGTGTGGTGGAGGTGTGAACACTTCCGGGTTAGTACTTACTGGTAATGTAATGTTCTGACAGTGGGATGGAGGTGTGAACACTTTCGGGTTAGTACTTACTGGTAATGTAATGTTCTGACAGTGGGGTGGAGGTGTGAACACTTTCGGGTTAGTACTTACTGGTAATGTAATGTTCTGACAGTGGGATGAAGGAGGTGGGAACACTTTCGGGTTAGTACCTACCGATTATGTAATGTTCCGACAGTGGGGTGGAGGTGTGAACACTTTCGGGTTAGTACTTACTGGTAATGTAATGTTCTGACAGTGGGATGAAGGAGGTGGGAACACTTTCGGGTTAGTACTTACAGGTAATGTAATGTTCTGACAGTGGGGTGGAGGAGTGAACACTTTCGGGTTAGTACTTACCGATAATATAATGTTCTGACATTGGGGTGGAGGAGGAGGGAACACTTTCGGGTTAGTACTTACAGGTAATGTAATGTTCTGACAGTAGGGTGGAGGTGTGAACACATACCTGTTAGTACTTACAGGTAATGTAATGTTCTGACAGTGGGATGGAGGAGTGAACACTTTCGGATTAGTACCTACCGATTATGTAATGTTCCGACAGTGGGATGGAGGTGTGAACACTTTCGGGTTAGTACTTACTGGTAATGTAATGTTCTGACAGTGGGATGGAGGTGTGAACACTTTCGGGTTAGTACTTACAGGTAATGTAATGTTCTGACAGTGGGGTGGAGGAGTGAACACTTTCGGGTTAGTACTTACAGGTAATATAATGTTCTGACATTGGGGTGGAGGAGGAGGGAACACTTTCGGGTTAGTACTTACAGGTAATGTAATGTTCTGACAGTGGGGTGGAGGTGTGAACACATACCTGTTAGTACTTACAGGTAATGTAATGTTCTGACAGTGGGATGGAGGAGTGAACACTTTCGGATTAGTACCTACCGATTATGTAATGTTCCGACAGTGGGATGGATGTGTGAACACTTTCTGGTTAGTACTTACAGGTAATGTAATGTTCTGACAGTGGGGTGGAGAAGGAGGGAACACTTTCGGGTTAGTACTTACTGGTAATGTAATGTTCCGACATTTGGATTGAGGTGTGAACACTTTCGGGTTAGTACTTACCGGTAATGTAATGTTCTGACAGTGGGGTGGAGGTGTGAACACTTTCGAATTAGTACTTACTGGTAATGTAATGTACCGACAGCGGGATGGAGGTTTGAACACATACCTGTTAGTACTTACAGGTAAAGTAATGTTCCGACAGTGGGATGGAGGTGTGAACACTTTCGGGTTAGTACTTACTGGTAATGTAATGTTCTGACAGTGGGATGGAGGTGTGAACACTTTCGGGTTAGTACTTACTGGTAATGTAATGTTCCGACAGTGGGATGGAGGTGTGAACACTTTCGGGTTAGTACCTACAGGTAATGTAATGTTCTGACAGTGGGTGGAGGTGTAAACACTTTCGGGTTAGTACTTACCGATAATGTAATGTTCTGACAGTGGGGTGGAGGAGTGAACACTTCCGGGTTAGTACTTACTGGTAATGTAATATTCTGACAGTGGGATGGAGGAGTGAACACTTTCGGGTTAGTACTTAATAGTAATGTAATGTTCCGACATTGGGATGGAGGTGTGAACACTTTCGGGTTAGTACTTACTGGTAATGTAATGTTCTGACAGTGGGGTGGAGGTGTGAACACTTTCGGGTTTTTGATATCGGCTCGGTCCACAAATTCATAATAATATGTAAATGTTCCGAAAGGAGCGATTCCCAGATCGCTGAGGGCCAACCGAAGAGGTGGACAAACATCCCCTAGACCATAAAGGAGAAATTCTGTAGCGTGATGTAGGCGACTAGTAGAATCTTTCACAGGGTTACATTCCTTTTTCAGGTGCGAGATTAATAGAATCTTTTATCCTCTCTAAGTGAGATTGAGGGATCTCGACCCCAGGGGAAAGATCATTAAGCTGTCAAATACGGACTTGCCGAGTGTTTGAGAGCTTGATAATCTTTCCCCTGAAAACCTTGTGTTATCATCAAGATTTAAACTCATCTTAATCCACAACATTATTGATAAAAATATACACGTATGTAAAATATCAAGAGTATAATCTTATTTGAATTTTTATAGGCATGTACACTAGAATTATATTTTGAGTAGGATGTTCACAATGCCCGAGGTGCGAGCATCGTCACTATTCACAAGCCTCCACATGTTTTTGTTTACACACATGCACTTGGACAAGGCAAACAGGGTGAGACAACTTAATAATCTTTCACCTTGGGTTGAGAAACACCCTAATCTCACTCTAAAGGGGATGAAAGATTCTATTAATCCAAACTGAGAAATGGGATTCCCCTTCAAGACAATGACATGACGTGACGTCAACAATTCAATAACCCTTTCGAATCTTTGACGTCACGTCAAAGTCGCCAAACACTTGGGCAATAAAACACTTACCTACTTGTAATAAGCCCTACAGGGTGAGAGAAAAGTAATCTTTTAGCCCATTCTTTGGTCAGATAGGGGGATCTCTACCCTCAGGAAAAAATTATTAAGTTGCAAATACTCGGTAAGCTTCGTGTTTCCTAAAATAGCCATACCTCACCTCCAATTTAACTTAATCGTTTTCTACATCGATCTCACCAACCTGTGTGTCAATGATTATAAGAATGTTGGATTTTTTTTTGGTCTTTTTTAATGATGTCAAAGAAAGGCTAAATTGTAATTGTGACGTCATACCATTGTGTCATGACAGTTGAATCCCCCATTTCACAATATGTTGAGACAAGAAAATATCACATCGGTAAAAAAGCGTGTATGCTCATCCATTGATATATTTTCAGGGGATTACTTTACTGTGTGTGCTTTGAGCAGTTTAATTATGCTAGACCGCCGAAACAAGACAGTTTCAACCAAGCAAAACACGATGACCCAGAACCGTTTTTGTGCATAATATCATAAGTTTGTTTTTTATTCATGACATAAATAACATTTTTTAGACCTTTAGAGACTGTTTCTAATGTCATTTTCCTGACGTGTCGAAGGCCAGTCATGGTCATTTTTCTGACGTGTCGAGGCCACGTCAGGGAAATGATGTCAATGACCACTACTGGCCTCGACACGACTGGAAAATGACGTAAATGACCAAGACTGGCCTCGACATGTCAGGAAAATGACGTCAATGACCACGACTGGCCTCGACACGCCAGGGAAATGACGTCAACGTCGAGGCCAGTCGTGGTCATTGACGTCATTTCCCTGACATGTCGAAGACAGTCGTGGTCACTGAGGTCATTTCCCTCACGTGTCGAGGCCAGTCTTGGACATTGACGTCATTTTCTTAACGTGTCGATTCCAGTCGTGGTCATTGATGTCATTTCCGTGACGTGTCGAGGCCTGTCGTTGTCATTGACGTCATTTTCTTGACGTGGCGAGGCTAGTTGTGGTCATTGACGTCATTAATAATCGTCATACGGCTTTGATATGCAAATGAATATTCTGCAGATGGTACACTCGGGTATAATGTTGCACATTTTTTCACTGGCTAATCACATATCGTGTTACATTTCAGATGAACCCGAATAATATTGTACTGTAGCGATGCATCGCTTAAGACTAACAGAATATACACTGACCTGCGAGGACATCGATTGAAATGGAGACGTTTCCTGTAGGTTCTCCTATATCTCGTACCAGAGAGTATTGGTGTACTACTTTTTTTGTACTTCCCAAATTCCCAAAATGTTGTGGCGAAGAGTCACCTGATTGAGAGAACAACACTAATGAGTAGAGGTGTTGGACGTACATTAAACAGTCTCTAAACCTGTTACTGCCGTCACTGTATATAAAACAGATGTGTTTTTACCGTTATGAATGCATATGAAAGGAATCCTGATATACACGTCACATCATTCATATTACCGTGAAACCGAGTACATAAACATCGTATCTGGTATATCTTTATAATTTCTCTTTCAGAAAATGAGATAATAACTGCACCTCTTACCCGGCAGTCCTTGCCACTGTTCCCAGAAATCACTGATACCAACGTCTCGATCACAAGTTTTGTTAATGTGATCCACGGTGTAGAAAGCAGACTGTGAATTAGACAGGACACTTAAAATATTGACGCTTATAAAAATTAAACCTGGACAGCCTGAAGTCTTTATCGTCTCGAATTACAGGTAATATCGATATCAAATCAGGAAAATAGAGAGGTTAGAACATTCTCATTTGTTTATTAGTGTTATTTCACTTGTCAAAACATAGTGACTAGATTCCACTGTTATTAACGTTGGTATTTATAGGGATGGTGTACCTTACCTACCATCAGTACGTTCTTCATGTTGTAGAGGGGACATCAGAAACAACGTCATAATGATGATGTAGAACGTACATTGTAACACAATTATGTACAGGGTTATAACAATTAAACACAATGTAATAACAAATATGCTTATAACAAGTATGTACAGCTAATTAAAAATTAGTTTCCGTGTTAGCACAACAGTGTAACAACTATTATGTACGATGTATCAGCATACATATGGCTCCCTATATCGAATAATCTCACTGTATTTTATTTACAAAATCTCAAAGAATGAAGGAAGTTGACTAATCCTACATTACAAGGCGTCTTACCTCATTAAATTTCCATATTATGGTATAATCAAATGAGACATTGCTAGTATACTCTCTACCACCCAAGTCGATCCTCATCTGTCTGTTGGTATAATCATAGTAGAAAACTCCGGAGGCATTAGCTTGTCCTGGTACAACCATCATCATTCCAAAATCAAAGAACACGTTGCTTTGCCACTGTGCTGGAAACATACATTTCGGTTTCTCATCAGCAGTGTAGGCCAACCCGACGACACAATAGCAGAATAAAAGTAGTTTTAATATATCCATGTTACTATTACACAGGGAAAAGGTTACATAAAATGCTGAGTGATATTTTCCTTTGTATCTGAAGATACACCTAGATTTTGTTACCTAATTCAGTTTCTGTGTCAGTAGTATACACATTATCATCAAAAGTTCACTCACCAGGGTCGTTCCAACCTAGAAGATAACCTGTACTTTAGTGTATAAAAATATAATGTACTGTAACCTTTTCATCATATCTGTAGCTTTTAATGTACTGTAAAGTCGAGCCCTTACAGCGATTCAAAACAGCTTTTGTCTACACTCTACCCTTTTGGTTCCTTTAAGAAACCCAGATTTGTAATACAGTCTTGATCACAAAACAATAGTATGAAGTCAGCTTGGTGCCATGTTGATCTACGCCATCGTCTTCAGATAACACTCGTAGTAGCTGAACAACTATCGCCTAGCTGATTGTGATTTCCAGAATGAAAAGGCATGACCCCAACAAACTATAGCCATTGCACGTTCTTTGATGAAATCATTGAGAGAAGTACTGGTAGAAAAAAAAAGAAAAGAAATGACAAGAGGAGGTCTTGTTGAGGAAAGAATACCGGAAATAGCGTCTGCAGTGCTCCTTTGAGTTCATGTTTAGGAGAAAGATCCAGAAGTAACGACAGCAGTTCTAGTTGAGAGAGATCCAGAAGTAACGACAGCAGTTCTAGTTGAGAGAGATCCAGAAGTAACGACAGCAGTTCTAGTTGAGGAGAGAGATCCAGAAGTAACGACAGCAGTTCTAGTTGAGAGAGAGATCCGGAAGTAACGACAGCAGTTCTAGTTGAGAGAGAGATCCAGAAGTAACGACAGCAGTTCTAGTTGAGAGAGATCCAGAAGTAACGACAGCAGTTCTAGTTCTTGTTGAGAGAGAGAGATCCAGAAGTAACGACAGCAGTTCTAGTTGTGGTTAGCGATCATTAGTAACGACAGCAGTTCTAGTTGAGAGAGAGATCCAGAAGTAACGACAGCAGTTCTAGTTGAGAGAGATCCAGAAGTAACGACAGCAGTTCTAATTGAGAGAGATCCAGAAGTAACGGCAGCAGTTCTTGTTGAGAGAGAGATCCAGAAGTAACGACAGCAGTTCTAGTTGAGAGAGAGATCCAGAAGTAACGACAGCAGTTCAACGAAGTAACGGCAGCAGTTCTTGTTGAGAGAGAGATCCAGAAGTAACGACAGCAGTTCTAGTTCAGAGAGATCCAGAAGTAACGATAGCAGTTCTAGTTGAGAGAGAGATCCAGAAGTAACGACAGCACTTCTAGTTGAGGAGAGAGATCCAGAAGTAACGACAGTAGTTCTAGTTGAGAGAGAGATCAGGAAGTAACGACAGCAGTTCTAGTTGAGAGAGAGATCCAGAAGTAACGACAGCACTTCTAATTGAGGAGAGAGATCCAGAAGTAACGGCAGCAGTTCTAGTTGAGAGAGAGATCCAGAAGTAACGACAGCAGTTCTAGTTGAGAGAGATCCAGAAGTAACGACAGCAGTTCTAGTTGAGAGAGATCAAGTAACGACAGCAGAGAGAGAGATTAACGACAGCAGTTCTAGTTGAGAGAGAGATCCAGAAGTAACGACAGCAGTTCTAGTTGAGAGAGAGATCCAGAAGTAACGACAGCAGTTCTAGTTGAGAGAGAGAGAGAGAGATCCAGAAGTAACGACAGCAGTTCTTGTTGAGAGAGAGATCCAGAAGTAACGACAGCAGTTCTAGTTGAGAGAGAGATCCAGAAGTAACGACAGCAGTTCTAGTTGAGAGAGAGATCCAGAAGTAACGACAGCAGTTCTAGTTGAGAGAGAGATCCAGAAGTAACGACAGCAGTTCTAGTTGAGGAGAGAGATCCAGAAGTAACGACAGCAGTTCTAGTTGAGAGAGATCCAGAAGTAACGACAGTAGTTCTAGTTGAGAGAGAGATCCAGAAGTAACGACAGCAGTTCTAGTTGAGAGAGAGATCCAGAAGTAACGACAGCAGTTCTAGTTGAGAGAGAGATCCAGAAGTAACGACAGCAGTTCTAGTTGAGAGAGAGATAGAGATCCAGAAGTAACGACAGCAGTTCTAGTTGAGAGAGAGATCCAGGAAGTAACGACAGCAGTTCTAGTTGAGAGAGAGAGAGACAGCAGTTCCAGAAGTAACGACAGCAGTTCTAGTTGAGAGAGAGAGAACGACAGCAGTCCAGAAGTAACGACAGCAGTTCTAGCAGTAACGACAGCAGTTCTAGTTGAGAGAGAGATCCAGAAGTAACGACAGCAGTTCTAGAGAGATTAACGAGAGAGAGAGAGATCCAGAAGTAACGACAGCAGTTCTAGTTGAGAGAGATCCAGAAGTAACGACAGCAGTTCTAGTTGAGAGAGATCCAGAAGTAACGACAGCAGTTCTAGTTGAGAGAGAGATCCAGAAGTAACGACAGCAGTTCTAGTTGAGAGAGAGATCCAGAAGTAACGACAGCAGTTCTAGTTGAGAGAGAGATCCAGAAGTAACGACAGCAGTTCTAGTTGAGAGAGAGATCCAGAAGAGAGAGTTCTATTGAAGTAACGAGCAGTTCTAACGTTCTAGTTGAGAGAGAGATCAGGAAGTAACGACAGCAGTTCTAGTTGAGAGAGAGAGAGAGAGATCCAGAAGTCCAGAAGTAACGACAGCAGTTCTTCTAGAGAGAGAGAGAGAGATCCAGAAGTAACGACAGCAGTTCTAGTTGAGAGAGAGAGATCCAGAAGTAACGACAGCAGTTCTAGTTGAGAGAGATCCAGAAGTAACGACAGCAGTTCTAGTTGAGAGAGAGATCCAGAAGTAACGACAGCAGTTCTAGTTGAGAGAGATCCAGAAGTAACGACAGCAGTTCTAGTTGAGAGAGATCCAGAAGTAACGACAGCAGTTCTTTCTGAGGAGATAGATCCAGAAGTAACGACAGCAGTTCTAGTTGAGAGAGAGATCCAGAAGTAACGACAGCAGTTCTAGTTGAGGAGAGAGATCCAGAAGTAACGACAGCAGTTCTAGTTGAGAGAGATCCAGAAGTAACGACAGCAGTTCTAGTTGAGAGAGATCCAGAAGTAACGACAGCAGTTCTAGTTGAGAGAGATCCAGAAGTAACGACAGCAGTTCTAGTTGAGAGAGATCCAGAAGTAACGACAGCAGTTCTAGTTGAGAGAGATCCAGAAGTAACGACAGCAGTTCTTTTTGAGGAGAGAGATCCAGAAGTAACGACAGCAGTTCTAGTTGAGAGAGATCCAGAAGTAACGACAGCAGTTCTAGTTGAGAGAGAGATCCAGAAGTAACGACAGCAGTTCTAGTTGAGAGAGATCCAGAAGTAACGACAGCAGTTCTAGTTGAGAGAGATCCAGAAGTAACGACAGCAGTTCTTTTTGAGGAGAGAGATCCAGAAGTAACGACAGCAGTTCTTTTTGAGAGAGATCCAGAAGTAACGACAGCTGTTCTAGTTGAGGAGAGAGATCCAGAAGTAACGACAGCAGTTCTAGTTGAGAGAGATCCAGAAGTAACGACAGCAGTTCTAGTTGAGAGAGATCCAGAAGTAACGACATCAGTTCTAGTTCAGAGAGATCCAGAAGCAACACCAACAGTTATAGTTGAGGACAGCAAATTTTACAGCTCAATATCAAGGATTTAACACATTGGTTTTGGAGATCGTTGGGCTTCACGCTATTTTCTGTTGAAACACTGATTTTCCATCCATGTTCCGAAACTAATTGTTTGCTGCGGCGGTCAATACTGTGTCATCGCTTATGTCAAATCGGTGTTAAATTTCTTAAAATCGTTCCGTATCTTATTTTTGGATTACAATGTATTTTAGTTTTTATTGAACAAGTGATTTAAGCGATGCTTTCGTTTTATCTTAATGTGTGACTAAGGAAGGGACTTATCTGTGGTCACGGAATGATCACTATCCAGTGTTGTGTGGCTAGATGTAAATGTACTTTTACCTGTGATTATCTATAGCCAACACGATCAGGGGGAGATAACAACTATACTGAGATATGACTGATGAAAAATACTGCGACCGTGAGATGGGAATGTAGTGAAACAGCTGTATTTTACATTGATGATAACATTGATACATACCTTTTGTGTTACATTTATATCCAAACATTTCTTTTTTGTGAGCCTCATGAACGTTTAAGATGTAACAGTTTAAAAATTAATACCAATAACTAATCCCAGTATGCAGGTCTTTAACATTTATACAGATAGATTTTTTCCAGTTCGTAAGTCAAACTATTTATACCGATGATTTTTCCCCGGTACATAAGTGTTACTATTTATACCAGTAGGTATTTCCAGTACATTTATACCAATACTTCGAATACATAATATTATCCATTAATATTTTGGATATCTTAAATAAATACCTTTAAAAAAAACAAACGATATGTAGCATGAATATACTTCACAAAATTTATTATAACATCACTAAATATTTCTGATTGTTAAAAAAATGAAACGTGAAGTGATGGTCACTCTTTAAATATATTTTCCTAAATGGGTGCTAAAAAAGAAAACCCTACCACTTGTTTTCTATGAATGGATTTTTTTCATGTGACCATCTATTCATAGAAGTCTTACACCAGCAGTACATTACCTTATCTAACTATCGCTCTGGACTAGTAGATACCTGTCTACATGTCCGTCGGTATGTACAAATGTTGCCAGTGGGTTATTGATTTACATTATCATTTGCTGTATGATCGTTTTATTTTCTTAGATATATTTTTGTGGACAGCTGTTGTAGTGGTTGCCAATAGATTTTACTAGGGACTTAAATCACGAGAGAGGTGAGAGTATATATGTGGGGATATAGCTCAGTGGTAGAGCATTCGACTGCAGATCGAGAGGTCCCTGGTTCGAACCCGGGTGTCCCCTAACTTTTGATATATATTATTGTCGTTTTACTCTCCGGCAGTTTGAAATAGTTATATTTCACTAAACTAAAAAGTATTGTTCCTTTTATCATTACACAAACTATAAAATGATCATCAATAGAAAATGTTTTATGAGATGTATGAACGCTGATTACAAATCAAAAAATTATGTTTATAGCAATCGCATAAATGCTCGTACAACAAACCCGAGTGGTTATCTGCAAATTTTTATTACATTATCAGTAACGAATGAAACCCACGCATTATCATCGTAAAGGAAAAACACAGACTTATTATGCTTCATTATTACTATTCTTTCTGATGCCGGGCCTCCTGCATTTCTTTCTAAACTTCACACGTATTTATATGATCAGCATTTTATCGCTGCTCAAGATAACCTGTTTCAAAGCATATTTTTACGAGTGTTAACTATCAAATCAGAGCTACACTCTTATTGTGATTTTGTTTACTCGAGAAGTGGTTTGTTGGTTTTAAAGAACTCAGGAGGATTTTGGAGCAATCTTAAACATACTCTCCTGAAAAGCATTTCTTTAACAAGAGAATGAGATTTTTCCACGTTATGCGCCACCTTGCCCAATTTCAAACTTTGAGAATACCTTCATGCTATGATTATTATTGGTTTCCTTTCAAAAAAGGTAAAAAGTGTTTCACGTTTGTGTAAAAAGTACAAGCCAAGGCGCTGTGGATATCATACAAAGTTTCTGGTTGACAATATCTTGTCGAATTTGGTGAACAAACTGTACTCTCTCTTGACTGACGTGGTTTTGCTTTTATAAGTCTCTGGGCGTATCAGAAAGTTTATCAGTACTGGTCACAAAGACCGTGCCACGTCCTTCCATTTCTTATTTAAATACATTGTATATTGATGATGCCTTGTTCTTCGATAGCAAGAAATTTGTTCACCATATCCATCATACATTTTATCCCCATCAGATTTAGAAATCAAGGACAAGATAAACTCTTCTACATCAGCCGCTTATCTCAATACAATGAAAACAAAGGCACAGCGTTTCCACCAAGTTGTATGATACGCGCGAAGGCAATTTCCCAATTGTGAATTTTCCATTTCTATATGGTAAAATCCTTTATTTCCAAACTTGTTTACATGTCGCCTTTGATTTACTAATCAAAGACTTATTCCAAACATCACGACTTCTATGCAAGATGTCGATATCTGACACAGGGTTTTGTAAGTTGGTGAAGATAATGGTTAAGTATTATAGTCGTCACAATGATCTCATCGGGAAAGCATGGTATTTCCTTGTGCGATATGACGTTGGGTGGTGTTCCAAATGTTGTCAACCTTGTTCTTATTTGGAAATGTGACATTATCTGCTTGATTGGACAAATATTGACATAACGGGTGTCGTCGATGAAGCAGAAGACGCTTTACTTCCCAGAGCACCTGGTCCTATTCTCAGAGATCACGGTCTATGCTTTTTCTTTTGGTCAAGTTTTGCCCTTATTTCATCGATTTTTAATTTTAATTAAGTTTATGTTAATATGTCGATATTTCTATTGCTTTTTGAATATCAAAAACCTGCGTTTAAACCCCATCATTGTGCAAAATAAACAAATATAAAAAGTTAGATAGAAACAAAAAAGAATGCAAATGCACAGTCAACATAGTGACTTTAAACTGGATGCAAACCGAAATAATGTGTTCATTGAGACTTTTGTTTGTGTTATAAAACTTAATATAAAACTAAAACTGTTTAAATTGTGTTAAAGGCAACAAATATGATACTGAAATGCATCCTCGATACTCCAGGCCATGGGGTCGCCAACTATCGCTCTCTGCACCATTATAACATTGCATGGTAAAGTTCGAAGTGCTATGTGCGACTCCTTGTGGAAATATAGAGAAGACTAGGTTGATCTTTTAATGTAAATTATAAGAATTTTGAGGTCACATAACGGTATGTTGTACTTGTTTTGATGTTGGATGTCGCTCTTTTGTAATCTTCAATAGAGCGTATCAGTCTGCATGTGCCTTCATTTTTGCCATGAAATGTTCCAGGGGTGCATAGAACGAAAATGACCGTAAGTCCTGGAGTATCGATGATGAACGAAATGGTAACAAAATCTTCATTCAAACACAAATACTGTGATATTGACGCAAAAACCAAGAACAAAAAAAGGACTAACTAGGAGAGAAATACCAAGTAGAATAATACCAGGCACGGAAGGGGAAGCGTTTTCTGCTTCATCAACGACATCCGCCATGTAAATCTCGGTCTATCCATGCAAGCAAAGTCACAGTCCTAAATTAGAACAAGGTATACTAACGGACGGCTAAAACATCAAACAATATATTGAACATTAGGGCATGTTGTCTTCAGCAACATCCAGTGAACACAAACATATACAACAATAAGATTTTGTTTAATAATGCGAATTTCGCGTTAGTTGGATTTCTACATTGTTCATTCTGGTTTTAACTTTTTCTTCTGATTTCTGTTTTCTTAGTGTTCATCTACAGCCGGGCTATCCCATTAACGGTCCGAAACGTCTATGAATGAGATGGTTCCTCCGGACGTTCTCCTAAAATAGACAGATACTGATGATATTAAAGTATATATTATTTTATAAAAAAAACCCACAAAATTCATTTTCTCATATTAAAATTTCATAAATGTCCTATGGAATATTTAGAAATGATTGATAATGAATACAATAACTAATACACACCGATGTTGTTATGTTTTTACAATTGGAGGGATTGTTGAATACTGCAGGATTTTTTATCATCTCTGTTGGGTCTAAAAATTCGTAATTATACGCAAATGTCCCTAAAGGATCTAATCCATACTGCTCCATGATTAACCTGCTGGGAGGACACACATCACCTGGTAACAATAAAAGTACATGATTTAAAACTTACATAACATGTAAAAACGTGAACAACAACATCACAATACCAATAATACAAGATTAAAGATATGTAATATTACATCTACATCATATAATACATCTGTATCATATAATACATCTATATCATATAATACATCTACATCATATAATACCACATCTACATCATACAATACAAGATTAAAGATATGATATCACATCTACATCATATAATACAACATCTACATCATATCTACATCATATAATACAACATCTATATCATATAATACAACATCTACATCATATAATACAACATCTACATCATATAATAAATCTACATCATATAATACAACTACATCATATAATACTACATCTACATCATATAATATCACATCTACATCATATAATACAACATCTACATCATATAATATCAATAATACACATCATATAATACAACATCTATCATATATACATATCACATCTACATCATATAATACATCTACATCATCATACATCATCATATAATACAACATCTACATCATATAATACAACATCTACATCATATAATACAACATCATATAATACATCATATAATACACATCTACCACATCTACATCATATAATATCACATCTATATAAAATACAACATCTACATCATATAATATATACATCATATAATACACATCATATAATACACATCATATAATACCACATCTACATCATATAATACATCTACATCATACAATACCACATCTACATCATATAATACAACATCTACATCATATAATACAACATCTACATCATATAATTCAACATCTACATCGTATAATACAACATCTACATCAGATAATACCACATCTACATCATATAATACAACATCTACATCATATAATACCACATCTACATCATATAATACATCTACATCATATAATACCACATCTACATCATATAATACAACATCTACATCATATAATAATACATCATCTATAATATACACATCTACATCATATAATACATCTACATCATATAATACAACATCTACATCATATAATACAACATCTACATCATATAATACAACATCTACATCATATAATACAACATCTACATCATATAATACCACATCTACATCATATAATACATCTACATCATATAATACATACAATATAACAACATCTACATCATATCATATATACACATCTACATCATATAATACATCTACATCTACATCATATAAATACAACATCTACATCAATATCACATCTACATATAATACAACATCTACATCATATATATACATCTACATCATATAATACATACATCATATAATACAACATCTACATCATATAATACATCATATAATATAATATAATACAACATCTACATCATATATACAACATCTACATCATATAATACATCTACATCATATAATACATCTACATCATATAATAAAACATCTACATCATATAATACATCTACATCATATAATACATCTACATCATAATACCACATCTACATCATCTACATCATATAATACAACATCTACATCTACATCATATAATACATCTACATCATATAATACATCTACATCATATAATACATCATATAATACACATCTACATCATAAACATACAACATCTACATCATATAATACAACATCTACATCATATAATACATCACATCATACATAATACATCATATAATACATCTACATCATATAATACTACATCATATAATACATCACATCTACATCATATAATACAACATCTACATCATATAATATCACATCTACATCATATAATACATCTATATCATATAATACATCTACATCATATAATAACATACATATAATACATCACATCTACATCATATAATACAACATCATATAATACATCATATAATCTACATCATATCTACATCATATAATACATCTACACATCATATATATACAACATCTACATCATATAATACAACATCTATAATACATCATATAATACCACATCTACATCATATAATACATCCACATCATATAATATCACATCTACATCATATATACAACATCATATAATACAACATCTACATCATATAATACCACATCTACATCATATAATACATCTACATTATATAATACATCTACATCATATAATACCACATCTACATCATATAATACATCCACATCATATAATATCACATCTACATCATATAATACAACATCATACATCAATATATAACATCTACATCATATAATACAACATCATTATAATACATCATATAATACATCTACATCATTACATCTACATCATATAATACCACATCTTCATCATATGATATATTGACATAAATCAGTATTCAAACATATAGTGCAATGGTCAAATTAAATAAAAGTTTCTAGAATGCAATATAACTGTATTTGATCATCCCAATAATTCTACCAGCTACGTCCCACGATGTATGATGACAATTTTTTTTATCAAACATATAAGCAAGGGATATTGAATTGATTAGTATGGAAATCCTTATTTGATTAACTTATTTGTAATACGTCACAAAGCGAAATCGAAAGTAAACTTTGATACAAGAAACAACACATTGAAAGAGGATCATTATCACGTGACATTAAATATTTCTCAGTGTTTGTTAATCAGATGTCTTTAAGAAAGAAGAAAAACACGTTCGAAGTTGTACTAGAACACCGGGACTATATTTTTTTTATTTTTGTAATTCTTACAAAACATGGAACATGTTCCAAGAACAAAAATAATCACGCTACCTCCACAGGAAGAACAGAGAGAACCAGGAGGGCGGCATAATACGAAGTAAAATGTTAAGTGAACAGTCTTTTTTAACTTCTAGATCAATCTATCTCGGGAGATGGGGTAGGGAAAGTGAAAGGATACAAGTAATTAATACGTTTGTATTTTGTTTGCGTGGTGACCATAGTCTTGCACACATGGATATTGGACTGTTTACAGGAAAAAATGATAAATTTATCGTCCTTATTCCGTTCGTCATTCCTTGCCCACCCACCTTCTTTTTAAGTAGTGTAAAATTAATATGTCGTATTCACTACCAAGGTTTTTGACGAAAGATCGCAACCTTAGGGAAATATGTTCTGTGTTGTGTAATCATCAGGAATGTGTGGCCCTGTATAGTTGTAATGTTAACGCTTGACATGATAACAACTTATCGTTTCTCACTAGAATTTCCGTTATCAATAGATACACATTTCACACGCTAACAGAAGCTGATAAAAATGACGAGCGATAACAATGACTGTTTAAACAATGCTCTATATTATAACGATATAAAAGGTCGACGTCTCAAACTCAGTATTCTACGCTGTGATCGAAACTCAGACCTGTTATTTGCTCGTTATAACTTTCAACGGTTTTCTTGTATTATATCATCGATCGATTAGGAAGTAAGTGGGGATATAGCTCAGTGGTAGAGCATTCGACTGCAGATCGAGAGGTCCCTGGTTCGAACCCGGGTGTCCCCTAATGTTTTAATTTTATATCTTCTTTTAAACAATTATATGCGTATTTCTGTTTTATAACATGTTGTGATGTAATTTCTACGTGTGTAATTCTATCTATGAATTCATTTTTTATACCAAACTCACTACATCCATATCATAATTCGATATCAAAATAACACTATTGCTACATATCTAGTATAAATATAGACGTACATAATATAGTTAAGTGTAAGTCTATATAGTGTAGTGTAAGTCTATATAGTTTAGTGTAAGTCTATATAGTTTAGTGTAAGTCTATATAGTAAATTGTTAGTCTATATAGTTTAGTGTAAGTCTATATAGTTTAGTGTAAGTCTGTATAGTTTAGTGTAAGTCTGTATAGTTAAGTGTAAATCTATATAGTTTAGTGTAAGTCTATATAGTTTAGTGTAAGTCTATATAGTTTAGTGTAAGTCTATATAGTTTAATGTAAGTATATATAGTGTAGTGTAAGTATATATAGTTTAGAGTAAGTCTGTATAGTTTAGTGTAAGTCTATAGTGTAAGTCTGTATAGTTTAGTGTAAGTCTGTATAGTTTAGTGTAAGTCTATATAGTTCAGTGTAATTCTATATAGTCTAGTGTAAGTCTGTATAGTTTAGTGTAAGTCTATATAGTTTAGTGTAAGTCTGTATAGTTTAGTGTAAGTCTATATAGTGTAGTGTAAGTCTATATAGTTTAGTGTAAGTCTATATAGTTTAATGTAAGTCTATATAGTGTAGTGTAAGTCTATATAGTTTAGTGTAAGTCTATATAGTTTAATGTAAGTCTATATAGTGTAGTGTAAGTATATATAGTTTAGAGTAAGTCTGTATAGTTTAGTGTAAGTCTATGTAGTTTAGTGTGAGTCTATATAGTTTAGTGTAAGTCTGTATAGTTTAGTGTAAGTCTGTATAGTTTAGTGTAAGTCTCTATAGTTAAGTGTTAGTGTAAGTCTATATAGTTTAATGAAAGCCTATATAGTTTAGTGTGAGTCTATTTAGTTTAGTTAGTATGGAGAGAAAAGAAGATGGCGAACCTGGTAGACGCCGACGATTCATCGTCTCCTGAAAATTCTGTGTTTTGCGAAGATACAAGTCCGAAGGAGTACTATGAACTCCAACCAGTTCCCTTACAAGTCTTTGTCGGTGCTTTGGACCCTAGTTGTGACAATAATTCTCAGGACTTTGATGCATTTACCGATTGTTTTGATACGGATACACAGGTGAGCTCTATGCATGAATGTGATAATGATCTGGATAGTACTCTACTTGACTGCTCAATGACCCGGTCTCCTGATGATCCCTTTCCAAACTCGTGTATTCCTGATCAGGCGTTTATTCAAAGTTTGGCAAAAGACTCGTACATTTCTAAACTTTTGAAGTTTAAAATAGCTCATTGAACTCCATTACTTGGTATATTGAACGGAGCGAGAACTATTGAGAGGTGCCCCGAAGGAGATCTTGTTGCCAGGAAAAGCACCCAAAGAAGGGGTTCTAGCGCTAAA